AAAAAATAAGAACCAAGATACTCATGTAAAGGTACAAGATCCCAATGATGAATGTGACTGTATTTTATACCTAAAATGTACCAATAAACTTAATGGGGGGGGCCCTGGGGTGGAGATTTGCAAGGATCGAGACCTGGGGTTATGGCAATGACCTAAATCAAATGTAATAAGGATCAAAGCCAAGGTCATCGCCACCAAAACAGCAAGGAGACCATGAAAGTGGGAGGGGTTAAGGATATAAAAGTTTGGGGACGTGATAAGCAGTGGGTGTTGGGGCGAGAAGCAGTGCTGAGTTCAGCACCTCTGCGAGGTGAGGGCGCAGGGGACAGGAGGACATGTGCTGGTGAAAGGCTGCCCTTCCTGGGTGCCTCCTCCGACAGGCTGAGCTTCCTAACCAGAGCACACGCTCAGCACCAAGCTCTGTGAGTCCTTACACCTCTCCCCACCGAATGCTTTCCAGAGCTGGTTTCCTTTTGTTTTTGCTCATGTTCTCCATTCTTGCTTCTCGGTGCAGGGCTTAATGATTATATCTGAACGCTGCAGGGACAATGTAACATTTACACAGTGTTGCTTCATTTGATTCCTCTAACAGTCTTACTGGGTGGATGTGACTGTCTGAGGAGACAGAAGCTCAGGGAAGCAGTGTCTTGTGCAAGCATGGACAGGTGAGAAATAGCAGAGCAATTCCCAGGTCTGTGGAGGTCCTTTGAGAAGGGACTATGCTATCCAGATACACTGTCTGACTCTTGGATCTTGAGGTTCCAAGAGCCCAGATGCTGAGTTGGAGGCCTGAACCAGGTATCCACTGCCACTGTAAGGCCTTGTGATAACCAGTCACAAACCCTCCATGCCACACTGAGGAAGCCACTCAGTCAGCCCCCTATCTGCAAGTCCAGATGCTCTGGGCCCTGCTGAGCTTGCTCCTGGGCCATGGCCAGCTGCCTCCTCTCCTCGGCTCTGCTGACCTGGCCAGGGCACAGGTGCCCGGGCAGGATGGCTTCCAGCTGGGCCCTGTCTTCCTTCTCACGGGGCAGCTGTGCTTCAGGGCGACGGCACAACAAGCAGGAACATGCCAGTGCTTTTTCAGGTCTCTGCTTGCATCTGTCTTTGCCAACAGTGCTTTGGCCAGGTTCCTGGCGAACCTTGATCTTTAGAGAAATTGGAAAGTCACATGGCAAAGGGCAGGGAAGGAGAGGGGATCGCCCTGCCTCCAAGTGGAGCTTTCACCCCCGTGGAAACTGTCGTGTTTCTCCTGATTCCCCACTGCATTGAAACAGTTAGAAAGAATGCTGTTCTGCTTCGGTGGATCCCTGTGCATGGCTTCTCCCCGTCAGTCACAGCGATGCCGCCCGAGCCGCTCCCTGGCAAGCTGTCCACCCTCCCTGTGCCCTGGCCACACTGGCGTGGCCTTCTGTGTCCAGGGTTGGTACATGCTGTCCCCTTTACCTGGAAACCCCCAGCCTACCTTCACCTTTCAGGGACTGCCCCTCTTCCCCCCTTAGGACTCCCTCAAATGTCACCTTCCGCCACCTCCTAACCCTCACTTTTACTCGATTTCAGTTTCCTACTTGTAATTCTATTGAGCGCTCTT